AAGTTGAAGTGATAATTTTACAGTTTTCTTTATATTCCGTCTCCAACTACTAACTAGTAATATAAACTAATAAGTCAAATTATTCTGAAACTATGTATTTCTCACAAATTCAAACATTATTTACTTACAGGTAGACTTTATTATTGAAGCTTCAGTTCATGAGTATAATGATTATTTTATCAAGTTTAATACTTATATATCTGTACAATAAATAGTAATCCAAAGGGCAATTAATAGGAATAGTTAATAATCACAAGAAATATAACATACACACCGGACAATTCGTATTCGTATTTTTACAAATGAATTTACTACATCACTATAAAATATCGTCAGTGAAGCATAGTTCGTATTTGTGTAAACCTTCGAAAAACAACACATGTAACTTCCTGTTGGGGACTACTGCTCTTTTAAAATGTCCATTTGGAGAACTTGGATGCAAAAGATTGTTAAAGTATCCATTGGGATCAAGAAATTTGGTCTATGTATCTAAAGGAGAATTCGATTGTTCAAATATAAGGATCTTTTAATAGACTTCAAACGTTAATATTCGTGTTGCTTAATAAGCAGTTCTCATAAGTATTATCAGATATCCCTTTTCTCTATTAAATAGCACATCTGAAGTCTGTTTAATTTTAGTAGCCCTATATTTTCTAGGCTAGATGGCTCAATTATTAAGCTTACACTATTTAGAACGACTCCCCATAAATGCATATCCATAGCGCTAAATGAAATCTAATCGGTATCTACGATCAAAATTATACATTTAAACCATCTAGGCGATGTCCGATGTGTACATTGTCTTATTTTAACCATTTACTGAGTCTACTCGACTATAATTAATTGACGTCAGTAGGAATCTGTCTAACTACTAGCTTGGTGAAATTATAGGAACCGTCTTCTCACAAAAATAAAGTAACATATAAAAATAATAAGTCTTCTAACAGTTGAATTGACGAGCCAATCCAAGCTGGACCACCATTGAAGACCAGAAAGCGCTGTACGGCCGTTTCATCTATTATCGGACTCCTTAGTAGTGCGCACCCACGAAACCGCATGTGCGACTTAAGCTCAGGGCCTCCAGTCTTGCGCATGAACGCTTAAACCCTTGACCACTGAAGTGGCATCCAATGGTGTTAATATCTATCCTCAATCGATCCACTACAATAAATCATTTTGGACCATCTCATCATGAATAACTATTTCATCCATTCTTTAATCTTTTCATTCCTGAGATAGAACTGGTTTATGATTATCTGATGAATAAAAACTAATTATGTGTGCAGCACTGTTATTGCTTTCTTTTAATACATCCCAGACGAAAGAAACTGGGTAATCAGTATTAAAATGCTTCATTCCACATTCGGTTGTCTTCCTGTGTATTGTGTCGTGCTACTTAATAACAATAAGTAGTTTGATGTTTTTTAGACATTTTCATAAATATTTTTTGGCCAGTCATGTTCAATTTCTTCACGCAAAATACAAATAAAAACTTGCTTAATTCTAAGGTGGTTCCACACTTTAAAGATATGGGACCTATTTCGCTTTTGTTAGTCACTGAACATCTGACTTGATACCATTCTAGATATTATTCTGGCTCATAGTATTTGCTGAAATGAACTTAACCAACTGTGTTCACGGTGTGAAATTTCTTAATGAGACTACGATCTTTAACGATTTTTAACCAAGTTACTTTAGCTAAAACGTCACCAAAGGTAGAAAAAACTGATAATTAAGCTAAATCAAACATATATGCACAACAGACATTTAATAAATAATGATAACTTTATTCGATATTATTTGTTTGATACACAGATAGGAAGGGTATAGTGTGCTGAAACCTACTGCGTTTCTGACACCTAGAAAGCTTGCCTACATTACCCTACTACTTATAAGTATATCCAACGGCCTTGTTTTGAAAATAATCTGTCATCATCAAAGTGCACTATGCAACCAAAGTTATCGGGATTCAAAAACATTCATGTCGTACTAAACACGTTAACAACATGTAAACGATTGCCTCACAATCCACCACATCTACCAATTTATATGTGGGTGTAAAAATACTGACATTGGGAGAAGCAGTCCTGTCTTATAAATAATAGTGGTTGTATATAAACTAAAATATCTATGAGAACAAATAAAGTCTAGTGACCAAATGAAACCAGATGTTAATACCCATCCTCCACTACTCTCAAGGTCATAACCGAAACAAGTCAAAAGACTGATCGACACTTAGTCTGATGAGTTTTTGCAGAAAAACTGTCTTGGACGAATATTTACATTTGCTTGTACGGAGACTCAACCATAGTGCTATTGATTTCTATTTTAATGCCTAAATTGGCGTGGTATTTTTATTTTACGGTCTACTCCGCTCTTATGTGCTAATTTATTTGCTTTTGTCTTTGTTTGACATATATCTTGTCAAGTTAAAGGATGATCAGTTCCTTTAAAATATATTGTTTTAATATTGCACATGATTCTGATGAACTTCGTATAATCATTGCACCACTTAGATTAAATATATGTTTTATTTTATCTCGGAGCACCTTACAGAATTCACTAAATTGCTATAGGGTTTCCGTAAGGTAATTAATATCCTTAGTCCCTAGTTGACTTTGCTGTTCGGAGAGTGTTTGTTACTACACATTAGAAAATTATATTCAGAAATTACTACACTCATTTTGTGTTACTTGCCTTCATAATTATCCACTAATCGACATGAAAGTATGACGGTAATTCGGAGTTAATTTAATTGGTTCGAAAGAGGATTACTGTTCCATCCGATATAAATTAAATGAATGGTAACTCCTAGAAATTATTTATTGACTATTATATATATATACTTATTATAAGGGGATTTTGTTTGACTCATTAACTATTATTATACGACTTACTAATTGTAATTTATTTTTCATCTATTATTTACAGTCCCTCCTACTCACAGCCACTTTTGGCTTGATCATATGTAATTCTTATTTCTCATCTCATGATGTAATACAACCTCACCTTGTTTTGCCACATGATATTAGACAAGGCCATAAAAGACATAATAATTATTTAGTACGTTACTTAGCCACCGTGACTTTGAGCTTTTCAGGTTACACATATTTGTACATGCAGTAAATCTCAAAAAAGAACAAATCTAGAGTGATTCATAATTTTGGCGCTTTTATGTAACTGATATCGATTGGTTAGTATACCTTATATCTATAGAGGTGCTCCAGTTTACTGACTCTGGGTTATTTCCATAACTTCACTTATGACTTTAAGTAGCTTTCATACTTCTTTCCCACATTTTTCTAAACCCTAACTAAAAGAAGTTTCTACTTTCTGCTGACATTAGGTCAATCTAAACTGAGTAAAGATCATAGTGACTACAAAATCATAAGTATTTCGGATCTCATTTTAATGGGACTATCTGCCTATCGCAAAAAAAACTTTCCATAGTATATATTTGAATGAAAATCCTTATCACTAGCCATATTCCCAAAATTTGTTTGTCTCGGATTAAAAATACAGACTAAAGTATTCAATCATAACAACGATCCTAAATCATCGCTTGTTTAGAAAACTACTTGGAATACTTTGAATTCATTATCTAAAGTTAGAATATTTCATCGCAGTTTTTCAGATCCGTTAAAATATCAATAGTGTGATGAGATTACTATACTTTAACAAAACTTGTCCGACAACATTATTTCATATATCATATCGTAGAAGACCAATTTATCTTAATGTCATTTATCACTGTTTAAGTTTTAGAATAAAGGTTATTGAAATGAGTATTTATATACCATTATTTGAATCATTTAGTATAGCCATATCAAAAATACACTGTAATGAATAATGTAAAACAAAAACGAATAAATTTGAAAGTGTCGAATAATCGCTTTTTATCGCTAGAGTATGTTTAATTACAACAAAGAGTTTTAAACCATAGGTGAGAAATTTTAATCTTATATCCAATTGACTTGTAGATATTCAGTCGTTAGCCAATATTAATATTTATTCCCAAAGTTTAATCGTCAGTTTAGTCCTTATGTCATTTTATCCATTAGATTATATAATTTGTGCATGAACTTCTCCCGAAGGACAGTGGAGTGCAAAAATAAATAAATTATTGTGGTGAGTTCCCTTTAGGTTTTACTGAAGTTACCTTGGTAATAAGCTATGAAGATAGCTGGAAAATAGGTAATTCAGAAGTTAGTTTCCAGCTAGCTCAAGTATTACCGTAGATTTTGAATAACTGTACCGCATGAAGTTATTTTGATGGTTTTCAAAACTTACCAAGAGGATAATCAAAGTCAGATAGGGTAGAGTATAATTTATGGAGAAACCAATGAAATTAAGGATATCAAGTCTTGGATTTGGGCTCGAAATTCATTCATCCATATTGTTAAGTAGCATTTTGGGATTACAGATTATATCAGTTCATGGTGAAAACCTTTACTTTAATCCATGAAATTAAATTCTAACTCTAAATCCTAATCCTATTTCCTCATATTAATTTTTAGTCCTCTTTTGACTCTGTTAAGTAGGTAAGTTGTCTCAATATCACCTTAGCGTTGCTCATAGGTCATCCATAAATTCAAGTCCCATTGTCTGTTACTCATTCGTTGTATTTACTACATCAATAGTGAATATTAACTTTAAGAGATATATGTGCTAACAAAATAACATTATATTAGTAAGCCATTCTTGGGACCAAAACAATAACAATATCAAAAATGACAGCTTGAATTATCTTTATCATATTACAATGCTTTTTGAGAAAATTAATCACCAAACTCCATATTTAACATCAACTATTCAAGTCTAGTTTTATTGATTACAGTCACCCAATCACAATTAAGATTTAGTGACCTTGTTAAAGTTTGCTATGTTATCTGACTCTTAACTGATTTTCTATTGGTTACCTGTGGCAGTAAGGTCATACTACTGGCCTCGCCCAGCGATTGATAGATCTTGAGCCATAAGACAATTACAAATAATTTTCAGGCTATCTGAAATGTCTATTTAGCAGGTACACTAGCTTCATGAGAGTTGGAGAACATCTTAATCTGAAATGGTGGAGCCATCAACAGCATACATTACAGCTAACAATTTACCTCCAGAAATTTTATTGCGTGTCTTCAATTATCTCGATACTGGTGATTTAATTAATTGTATGTATGTATGTTCTACTTGGAGACAAACGGCGCTTGACAGTTGTTTATGGCAAAGAAAGTTGGTAACAATTTTGAAAACTCAATGGTCTACTCTTATATGTGATTGTAAGCCCAAATATGCTCCGGACCTACAAAAGCTACAAACAATTCATCCTTACAAAATATATCACTTCCTTAAGAAATATGTTCCTCAACACCTACTTGATGACCAGAAAGAAACATCAAAAGTCCAACTTTTGATTAATAAGATTAATCAACTTAGTCTTGCTTCAGCTCCACCTGAAGGTCAATCAACTAATCCTTTATCATTCTGTGAATTATTTTGGAAGTGGTGGAATAATTTTAGACGTAGATTGTCTATCTACCATGCTTCACGTTTGAATGACATAAGTCGTCAGCGTTGTCGATTTGCAGTATTTGGACCTGGTTTTGACCAGAGAGCTACAAGTTGCTTGTTTAGTAAATTGGTTGATGTAAAAACCAAATCATTTGAACCATTAAATATGATACCAGGTCGAATGGGCTTTGGTGCTGGACTTACACTTCGGCTGCATAATCAAGCTCAAATGGCAGCATTAGATTCTTCTGTATATTTTTCGGACAAAACATTTAAACATTCAAAAAACGATTACAAAAAATCTATTTCGAAAGAGACATATACACTCAATTCACAAGCTATTAATTACTTAAACGATTTCATATTTGATTTACATTATCTTTATTCTTTAAGTGGACATTTAAGTCATAAGTTCAATAATCAGCTAGAGCGAATTCATGCCAGTCGTCTTTTTACTTATTCAAATGATGTAAATATCTCAACTATTCATTCATCATCTTTGAATAGATTAATTGTAAGTAATGAAATGAAGTGTTTACTACATGGTATTTGTGGCATAATTTACGCTCTTGATGCTAGAGAAACAACCGAACAAGCTGTTTACTTATATACCGAACTAAAAACTGTATTAAAAGGTTTTCCTAATGAAATAGCACATAAAGTACCGATTGTCATCCTATATATTATGCCAATTGAAGATATTTTACAAAATAAGGATACAGAAAATTACATTCATTCAAATTATTTGAAAGATTCTACTGGAACAAATGAAATCTATTTAAATCGTGATAGTTATAGCGGTGCAAATTACACATTTTCATGGTGTGGTTCATTATTACAACCTTTAACATGTTTACATTTATTCGAATTTCAAAATCCATGGCGTTTACAAAAATGTGCCAGTAATGATATTAAAGCGGTTATTCAAAGTTTGATGTGGTTAAAATCTAAACATCCAACTATTCATGATACAATAACTTCAACTAATATGAAACGTGCAACTTCCACAACATATTGATTTTCCATAATTAACAATAATAATTTATTATTATGATAAAGATGGTAAGAAAGTTTCTATTTTTTATTCTTCTTTAAAGCTCTTGTTTTCCTTCGATGATAAGAAAAACAAAACAAATCAGTAAAAAAGAAGAATTTATTGTTTGTTTTCACCAATAGTCTTTCATTTATTTTCATTTACCTTTATTGATGACTATTTTGTTTGACAAAAATTTAAAGAGAGAGAGAGAGAAAGAGAGTAGATGTAACTAAATGCTTTCTATTATTCATGTGATTGTTTGTTGAGATGTCGTTTTTTAAAAAAAAAGGGAAGATAATGTTACAGAATGAATGTTTACTTATTTGTTTAACCATTTTCTTTTTTTGGATAATCTGTAGAAATAGAATTCACTACTATGTACATAGGGTTAATTTGTAAAATCAGATTTTCTCTCTTAGTTAAATAGATAGATAAATAATTAGTCGAAATGGTATACTGAGTGCAGTCTTATACAGATAATACGATATAAAGTATAATTTGAAGTTTATGTTATCCTAGTGTAATATTTCTTTGTTTTCAAAGAATATAGTTTAACGGATGCTGATGAATGATGAGAATGTTCTGAAAAGATGTTACACTCTTGCAAAATGAGTGAACTGTCTTTGCTTACATTAAGAATGATAGTCATAATGAAATGACAAAAATTATCAAATCATCCATTGCCTATGGATTTAACAAAGTCAGATATGAAATAATCGTGACCGATAATACTGAGTGACGATTACTCTACTATAGCAAAGGAATGAAAATAAACAAAATACCATATATTGTATTTCGATTAAATCGTTTAAACATATGTTAATAATGGATTAGGTATTATATGGAGGTAGCAAATGGTCAACGATAAAGTGTCGCTAACTATGATGAAGCACTTCTCAAATCATCGCTGCTTCTGATGGTTTCCTAACGGTCATCAATTTCTGTTTTAAAAATGGAAAAATGCTCCCGAAGTGACCTAATTTAAAGTCACTAGTGATTTATACAATTACTTACTTACCCCTGTTACCCCTCATGGAGGAGGACAGGCCGACCACCAGCATTCTCCATTCAACTCTGTCCTGGGCAATACCTTCCAGTTGCTAGTCATTCTTTTCATGTCTGCATCCAATTCTGGACGCAGTGTGTTCTTTGACCTTGCTCTCTCCCGTTGCCTTTCAGAATTCCAAGTTAGCGCTTGCCTCGTGATGCAGTTTGATGATTTCCGTAATGTATGTCCTATTCACTTCCAACGTCTTTTCCTAGTTCCCTCTCTTACAGTAGCCTATTGCTGATAGTATCCCGTCAACGGACATGAAGTACCTTTCGTAGACAATTATTTATAAATACTTGTACATTTTCGATGATGGTTGTGGTAGTTCTCCATGTTTCACCTCCATACAGCAGAACTGTCTTGACGTTCGTGTTGAAGATCCTGACTTCTATATTGGTTGACAGTTGTTTTGAGTTGCATACGTTTTTCAACTGGAGTAATGCTGTCCTTGCTTTGCCACTCTTCATCTTTACGTGTGTACCAGATGATGCTTGTTCATTGATGATGCTTCCCTGGTATGTGAAGGATTGGGTTGGTATTCTCCGTGTTGTATTTCAAGATCCTGCTTTTTCCCTTGTGTATGTCAAGGCATACTGATGCAGAGGATTTTACCACACTGGTTGTCTTGACCTGCATTTGTTCATGTGTATGAGATAAATGGGCCAGGTCTCCTGCAAAGTCCAAATCGTCCAGTTTCACACAAGCTATCCTTTATATTCCGTGCTTCATGTCAGATATGGAGGTCTTCATAATCCAGTCAACCACCAGTAGAAAGAGAAAGGCGGAGAGTAGGCAACTTTGTCTGCCACCGGTCCTCACTTGGAATTCATCTATCATCCGTCCTCCATGCACTACTTTACAGTGTAGTCCGTCGTATGAATTTTGTATGATTTTGAAGATCTTCGGTAAACTATAGTGTCGAGGAAGGTTCCATAAGGTTCTCCTGTTCACACTGTTAAAAGCTTTCTCATAGTCAATAAAGTTTATGCATAGTGACGAGTTACATTCACTTGATTTTTTAACGATGATCCGCATCGTCGCGATGTGGTCTGTGCGCAACCGATCCTTACAGAATCCAGCCTATTAAACTCGGAGCTGCATGTCTACTGAATCTTTCATCTGGTTCAGTAACATTCTGTTGAAAACCGTCCCTGCTATCGATAATAGTGCGATACCTGTGTAGTTCTCACACTTGCTCAGATCTCCTTTCTTCAATATCTTAATGAGCTATCCTTCTTTTCACTCAGTCTTTCAGTGGCACTTTTTCTTCATCTCAAATCTTCCTGAATAGAACATGGGGCATGTTTGGAACTACTTGTATCTCTGACTTCATTGCTTCAACCGGCATATTATCAGGTCGTGCTGCTTCCCCACTCTGTCTGATTGCCATCCTGATTTCTCCGATCGTTGGTGGAATGATTACTGTAGGAAGGTCTGTAGGTGCTGCTTTGATGGCCGGTGGGTTCAATGGAACTGGTATATTCAAGAGTTCGTCAAAGTGTTCTACCCACCTGTTCCGATGTTCTTAAATCTTAGTGATTGACTTGCTTTATTTGTCCTTGGTTGGTCTCTCTGGTTTTCTATATTTTCCTTCCAGTTTCTTCGTTGTGCCATATAGTTGTTTCGTACTTCCTTCTCCTGCAGTATTTTCTACTATCATTGCTAGGTCTTCCATGTATTTCTACTTGTAATTTATGATGCTTCTCTTTGCTATCTTGTTTGCTTCAGTGTATTTAGCTTGTACCTTGACTTTTTCTGTTCTTATTCGACTGTTGTTAATTACTGTCTTCTCATCCTTCCCTTCTTGAATCTTGTCTAGGGTTTTGACAGAGATCCATTCCTTCCGATGATGCTCGTTGCAGCCTAGCACTTCGTGACACGTTGACGTTAGTGCTTCTTTAATCCGTTTCCAGTTGCCCTCCATAGTGACTTCTTCATTGAGTGAATCTTGTAAGGCCTGGAACCTGTTGTTGAGAGCTATCTCGAGTTCGTTGAGTTCGTCAGTTTCTGAGAGGAGTGCTGTATTGAACCTAAATAATACTGTATCTCCATTTGTCCATTGCTTCTTTAGCGCCATACTCATCTTGACAACCGCCAGATGGTTATACGAAGCCATGTCAGCTCCTCTCTCGATTCTCACGTCTTCTACAGACCTTATGAATTTTTGAGTGACGTAAGTATGATTTATCTGGTTCTCTGTAGTGTGATCTGATGCAACCCATTTAGCTTTGCGTATGTGTTTGTGTGAGAATATAGTGCCACCTATAATTATTTTGTTGAATGCATGTAAAATCGAAAATCTGTCACCATTCTCGTTCCCTTCTCCCAGTCCATGCTGTTCCATGATATCTTCATACCTGGTGTTGTCTACTCCAACTGTGGCATTTAGGTTTCTCATCAGGGTGGTCAAGTCCTTTCCTGGCAAATTCGCTACGATGGACTGCAACCTCCCATAAAACTAATCTTTATCGTCGTCATTGCTATCATTGGTGGGTGTATAACACTGAATAGTATTCATAATTATTTCTTCCTTTGTTTTGAAGGACGCTTTGATTATTCTGGAGTACAGCAGCATCTCTCCTGAATTTATCCTTTTCTGTTCAGGTTGGGTCTAATGAGTTTCACAGATTCTAAGCACCTTCAAGTCGTATCTTCTCAGTTCTGTAGCTATTTGATTGGTCCTTCCTGCTTCCTGCATTGTCCGAACATTCCATTTACCTCCATTGATTGTCACTCTAGTTTTTAGTAGGGACATCAGCCTTGTGACTTCCGAAGAATCTCGGCTTCCACCATGAGGCGTCATAGTCCTTCTGAATGAAGATCCTTTAACTCGTAGGGTAAAGTTTAAATGGTTTAAATTGTTTATTGTGGTAAGTGGTTTTTTAGCAAGGTTGTTTTCTATGGGATGGGGTTGCTGACTCTATGACCAGCCCTCCTACTTTACCCGGGCTTGGGACCGGCAGTAACCCTAGAACACCTACAGGCGGAGTTAATGATTTACTAGACTTAAATAATAACTGATGGTTCACTTAAATATATAGCCATTAATGTAAGTTATTTCTATTTTGACAGTAAATTCCCATTTAAGCATTAAAAACACGAAGTTCATTGAAGGAATTGTACAGCTTGATAATAAATTCGTTAAAAAGAGTTCCCTTCACTGAACTCAGTGTTTTTTTATTTTGATAAGTTAAGACACTATGTTTTCCATATTTTAAATTTTTTTTATATCACATAGTACTACGACATGTGACATTCAACTTTATATGCAACCTCCATTTTTATATTTAGTCTCCATTTCTTTATAATGAAGATTATTCTCTCTTCCATATGATTTATTGTAGCTTATCGTTGGCCTACATTTGATCTTAAGAATTAAAATAACAAATAATTTATATTGTACCATACTCATATGCAGAAGGAGAACGACATTATCGAAGTTCACAAAGAATAAATCATGCCTTGAAGTTTTAAAACTTACAGTTTCAGGAAAGATAAAGGTCGGGCGAATCTGTACCAGTGTAATCGATTCCAAACTACGTTATTTAGATTTTCCAACTGCATGTCACAACTATCTCTCAGACACCGATTAGGAAGTCTGGACTTCTAAACATAGGTCAGCTGAGCAGTGATTCTATAGACTGATAACATGGTTTTGTTTTGGTTCCCCATAATCTTTTTCTACCAATTCATTGTTTCTTTCAGAAAAAAACAAGAAAATACCACCGTATATGATAGACACAATAATAGGCATCTTCTGTTCGTTTATTATCATCACTACATGTATTCTTCCTAGCTAAATTCGGACTTCATATTTTTGTCCACTTCACTTCCTACTTTCGTATAGTAAACCAGTTCACTTCATTATTCCTTCAACCATTTAAAGATCAGTTACTAATACCAATGGTCCTAATATAAGATTCAGTACATTAAATCGCTTTAATTCAAGCTTCTAAATATATATTCACCCTCTTTGCTCTTGGAAGAGTTTCGTTCTTTAAACTGAACGGTTCAATCATGAGGCTTTACTATCTCTTTGAGCATCATCTGCACAAATTCTATATGAAAGTGCGCTACAAGAATTTCTCCATACATGACCGACAGCTCGTTCTATCGACCATGGCCTTAATTAGATATAGTTGACTTTCATCCTGTCATTGTTTGCGTAGTTATTTGATTTTCATCTCTTTTTACTTGATTTTTAACGTTTAGAGATTTTGTTATCACACTAAAAATATGTTGTTGGGAATAAATTGATTAGTTCTAATAAATCTTGACTTTGAAACTTTAGATGTTTCCAAAGATTTGTGTCATTGGCGGGAAGGAGAGACAGAGAGTTCTTTGCTAACTTTAACTCAAGTGAGGTGAATACGGATGTAACGTCGAAGGGTATCACCAGTCCGTCATTGTCTATTTGGATGCTTTTAATCTTATACAAGGTTAAATAGGGTTATCGGATGATTTCATCAAAATACTCCAGTGTTCTGGGAATTTCTCTTGGCAGATTGTATTTTGGGGTTAACGGGGAGTGTGATTTATGTAGTTTTGACCTACTTGAGGCATATTTAGCCTAGTGG